CCCTGACCGGGACTAGAACCCAGTGTGCCGGCGCCGCAAGGTGGAGGATTAGCCTATTGAGCCACGGCGGTGGTCTTATTCTTAAGAACCAGGCAGAATCTGACTTTGGCCCTTGGCTAATTTTCCCTCAGCACACTCTTCTGCGTACTCTTGCCAACGCCCCTCCGACCCCAAGGCTTCCACCCTGGCTGGTGTGAACTCGGTGAGTTCCTCTAATCCTTCCAGGCGGCTTCCTCGCACGGAGCCTCAGATCAGCACTCACCTAAAGACTGCTGGGGGCACCCCTTGGCAGACCTCTGGACTCTCCCACTATGTAGCTCCTTTCTGGGAGCCTGACCTGTGCACTCTAGCCACTGTGGCTTTGCCAGACTCCCAGTTGTGTTTCCTCAATTCGGGGAGACTGCCAGGCTCTCCCTGGGTTCCTATTCTTGCTCCACAGTGGGGCCGCTCTCCAGGCAGTTAGCTGGAGCAGTCACAAGGAACCCTTCACTTGGTTACCATCTCTTGAAGCTCACGGTCTCTCCTCCTCTGATGTTCAGTCTTGAAAACTGTTTCACAGACTTTCTATGTTGCTTCAGGATGGGCAGTAAATACAGTTCCCGATACTCTAATCTTGCCGCAGGTGGAAACTCCTAGACTGCCCTGGAGGGTGACTGTGATAAATGCTGCAGCACATCTGATGCTCTGAAATCCTTTCACATTGCACTTGCTGTTGTCATGTATGGATTCCTCAGGCTGATAAACTCTATTGAGGAAATGACTGCATGCTGTACATCAGGACACAGCTGTATTTTTTGGCATTCCAAAATGTTTACAAATATGGTGTAAGAACAAAAGTATCCTTTTGTTCTGGGATTGCGGTTGCAGAGGGTGATTTCAGTATTTCATTCATAATGAGACACAGTTGAATAGGAACGGTTGTCAGGAGCAGTTCTTCAATAATGACTGATTACCAAAATATACAAACTCCTGACCACGTGGCCTACACTGTCCCTAGTGTTCCCCTGTGAGCCCGAAACTTCTCTTATTGGACTTGCCTTGGCAACGCATCCAGCTCTGCTTCCTTCTCTTCCCCGTCTCACTTCCCTACTCCTTTTCCTGGAAACAGTTCCTAGGAAATCACTTTAAGAAGTGGTTTACTTCACAATTGTTAGGATGGGTGTGTGAAATGTTCAATATAATCATTAAGTTGTTCTCTCTGGAGACAGCAATTATGAAATTATGGGTACAAATCACACACCAACCAACTTCAACATAGGATTACTTGCATGGCACACATACTACATGACATCACTCAATAGCTGGTGCTTCTTTGAAATGCTAAGTCCAACTGTAAATCCTAAGGATCTATGACTCAAGTCCCAGTGATGGTTCCTACAACCTAATGCCAGTCTTATCCAATCAGTGTCCCACTGGTACCCAATTCTTGCCTTCCTTGACCAGCTGACTTCCTTTGTTCTCACACTAAAGTTCTGTATTTATCTCAATAATGCTTATGCAGTGGCCTGTGCTTCAGCCTTTGCATTATTGCTTCCTGCTTAGTACTGTCAATTCTTCTCATCTGGTGTAGTCTCCAGTAGCCCTGTCCTCCACAAAGTGGTCCCAACAGTCTGTAGAGCTTCATGCCATGAAACCAGCATTCCTTATTCCAGATGACTGGGACATATACCATCAACCTCTAGAACACCAGCAGTGAGATGAAATTCTAAGCTTTGTAAAATATGGCTCTATCTTGCCAAATGTGTAAGGCTATCAAACTCCCCCGCCTAGTGAACACAATTCCTTTTGAGAAATTTAATTGGATATTTCTCAACCTCAGCACAATTGATATTCTGGGCTGGGTCATTCTTTGTTGTGGGGAGCTGTTCTGTGCACTCTTAAAACATTTAGCAACACCCCTGGACTCTACAGACTAGATGCCAATAGCACCCTCTAACCTATGAAAACAAAGTACTGTAAGACCAGGGGTTCAAGATAGCTAGAAAGGAATAAAAAGCTCTCTTATTTTGTGTGTAATCTTTTGTTGGCAGGAGACTTTTCAGTTGTTTCCTATGAGAAGATTCTGTTCATATCTTTTGGCAACAGATTATTCCTATACTGCTAAGCACACCTGTCTGTACACACAGACCACATCAATCTTTTCACTGCAGAAACTAGTAAGTAATGTTTCTTTGCTTATCAAAATGGCAAAGAGAAAAAGGAATGACAATATTCTGTCACTGTGAGAGCAGGTGGAAAGAAGACCTTCACACACTGCCAGGAGGTAGAAAGGACTGGGAGACTACCTGAATTGGGAATATGATTTGGCAATATGTACAAAAACTTCCATGACAAATATGCATCTTCTTTGAGCCTTAAATTCTGTTTTATCCTAAGGGATCAAATGAAGAAGATATGATGCAGAAGGACTTTTTAAAAAATAATAAAAATCAGGAACAGCCACACTGTTCAACAACAGGGAGTGGATTAAACAAATCATGGCATGGCCATATAACAGGATATGAAAAAATGATATAGGCATATATTTGAAAAATATGGAGTTCATAATACACAGGTTGCAAAGAAATGTGTATGTGTATATTTTTGGAAGGATAGACACTAAGAATTCTAGCTCACCTTTGGATGAAAAAAGTGATTTTTATGCTTTCCATTTTAATTTTTTCCTTAAAATGAGTATGTAATCTTTACACAACATAAAAATAAAGAGCTACTAATAAGCATTGCTATAGCATGGTCTTTTGAGAATGGGGACTGGCTTCCCTTTGTTCTCTTCTGAGAAACCAAGGTAGAATTCCGGAAATTTGTTGCTGAAGACAGAGAGTCTTCAATACCAGTAACTACAGGGATCCTTGCTTTGTTTCTTCTTTTGTGTTTATAAATATAAAGTCTTACTTGACTAACTGTTGAATCTGTGTTTTAAATTCCTCATCCTTTTAGGGGAAGTGTGTGTGAATAAATGATAGACTGGCTAGCTGTAACTGAACACCTGGTGTAAGAAAGAGTGATGGGGGGGCGGAGCTGTGGTGCAGTGGGTTAATGCCCTGGCCTGAAGCACCAATATCCCATATTGGCACCGGGCTGCTCTACTTCCATTCCAGCTCTCTGCTGTGGCCTGGGAAAGCAGCAGAAGATGGCCCAAGTCCTTGGGCCCCTGCACCCACGTGAGAGATCCAGAGGAAGCAACTGGCTCCTGGCTTCGGATTGGCGCAGCTCTGGCTGTTGTGGCCAACTGGGGAGTGAAACATCAGATGGAAGACTTCTCTCTCTCTCTGCCTCTCCTCTCTCTGTGTAACTCTTTCAAATAAATAAATAAATCTTAAAAAAAAAAAAAAAAAGAAGAAGAAAGAGTGATGGGGGAAGGGCAGTGGCAAGGGATATGGAATAGGGACTCTTCTGTGCTTCAGTTCTTCCCTCCCCAGGAAAACAGGACTGCATCCTAAAGCCTCCTTTCCCGTCTGCATATAAATGAATGGACCTGATGGATAAATTACATCCCAGAACAAACTGGGAAAAATAAGAAAGAGTACACAGACAAATAGAAAAAAAGCATTTCTTGGCCGGCGCCACGGCTTACTTGGTTAATCCTCCGCCTGCGGCGCCAGCACACCGGGTTCTAGTCCCGGTTGAGGTGCCGGATTCTGTCCCAGTTGCCCCTCTTCCAGGCCAGCTCTCTGCTGTGGCCCGGGAGTGCAGTGGAGGATGGCCCAAGTGCTTGGGCCCTGCATCCTCATGGGAGACTAGGAGGAAGCACCTGGATCCTGGCTTCAGATCAGCGAAGCGCCGGCCGTAGTGGCCATTTAGGGGGTGAACCAACGGAAAAGGAAGACCTTTCTGTTTCTAACTCTGCCTGTCAAAAAAAAAAAAAAAAAAAAAAAAGCATTTCCTTTCTTCCTCCAAAAAATTTTCTATGTATGTAATTATCTAAAGAAAGGCAGTCCCAAGTTTCTGCCCTAGGAATAGCAGGCAGAGTCGTTACACCGCATCAACACCAAGTCCTGCTTGTGCAGGTCCCACTGAGGAATAATAATAATAATAATAATATCATCTCACTTCTAGGAAGCTGTCTCAATGGCTGTCACTCTTAGCAGGCTGTTATGCTTACTTCAGGGTCAAACAGCAGTGGACATGGAAGCCATGTACCAACGTACAGTGAACTTAGCTCAGTGATGAAGCAGCAGGGGTGGGTTGCTCTAGACAGCAGACCTACAATTTACACTAGCACTGCTTTGGGAAGAGAGAAGTCTCCTTTCCTCCAAAAAGATAACAGCTGATCCTACCATGTAGGCACAAGCTGCTTACTTCCCCAAGAGTTAAAATACAAATTTAAGAATATAGTATCATAACATTTTCCTATTTAGCTGATTCTACCTCATTTTATCCTATTTTATTGGAGAACAATGACACTTTGATCCTAGTTTATGATTTTGTAACTTTAGTCACTTGTCCAACCCAGCTATGACCTCTGTCACCCAAACTCTTATTGCTTTTTTCACGATAAGACGAATTTATTTTCTCATTTCAGATAATTTATTTTTCTTCCTCTAGGCCTTGATAAGTATAAAAGGTTCACAAGTACAAAAAATTCTGAATAACTTCGTGGCAGTTAAAAAACCTATGAAAACAAAATAATTTCTAAGTCGCGTACTATTCATCTCTGTATATGAGTGACAGTTTTGAAATGTGGCCACAAAAATGCTAAAAACTATGCCACTGTGATAATGTTAAAACTTCGGATGACTCTTTTTCACTTGTTTCAGGAACTCTTTTTTGTGACATTTATACCGGATGGAGTCCTCACTATGTTGCCATATTGCCCAATTCCCTGCCTTTTTGGGGCTTCAACGATACCTTCCATTTTTAGTAATGTAAAAATGTGATAGTCTGTCTAAAGGAAGATTCTGACAACAGCTGCAGCAGAAGCAAGAAAAGAAAGCTGGGTTTGTATTTTCAGGTAATATCTCTTCCAATGTTAAAAAAAGTAATGTTGAAAAAACATTGCATTTTTCTTATTACCTTCTTTTCCCACAAGGATTTAATTTTAATACTCACATTGCGATGAATTACATACAATTAACATTTTTTCAAAATATACTTAAAAAGCTCTCTTGAAAATATAAATTCTTAATCTCCCTAAGAGTCTGAGTAAAAATGGCATACTGGAACAAAAGAAGCCCGTCTGTTTTCTTACTTAACAGAACATACAAGAGGGCTTCAAACAGCTCATGGAAAACTTGTATTATTTTTAAATTCCATTTTTCCACAAACTTTTGGAAGCCCCTCATAGGGCTCATAGAGAACTGGGATCTTTATGGCCTTTGTTTAGCAACTCTAGGTATGCCTAAAATTAAAAAATTGAAAACAAAACAAAACTTAAGTATTTAGTCAAAGAGAATACAGAATGCTGTAGACATAAAAACCAAATGAAAAGGGAAAGCCAAGTCAGAAGCTATCTCACAGCTTGGATTTTTTTTTCCTTTGCTTAATAAGGAATAAATTATCATTGCCCTCATCTTCTACATGCCTCTCCTTCTCCTTTTGCTTTCCCCGCCTTCCCTCTTTGGAAAGCTTGTCTTCTCTAGGCTTGCGGAAATGCGATGAACGGTGAAAAGACTTGTGAGACTTGTGGGTTTTAAAACTGCCAGCTGAAGAGTGAATTTTTGGGCCCCGGGGAAAGTCCTCATCCACTTCACGATATCTATCACCCTTTCTGGGCTTCTCCCGCTCTCTGTTCCTATTCATCATTTCCCTTTGGGTTTCTTTGCCTTCTCGAGGCCACTTGTTTTTCCACATAGCATGGCTCTTCTTCTTATCATGGTGGAGCCGACTGTCTGATGCTTCCATATGAGGTCTCTTGAACGGCCTTGGGAAATCTCCATTTTTCTGGAGTTCTGGAAAATATGAAAGTATTTTTGCAAGTTTAGTAGCTAGGCAGTACATGCAGAGCTCCATACATCTGTAAATAACTTGGTAGAGAGGGAAATGAGGCATTTAAACACGTTAACAACATAACATTCCAAAGAGCCCTTACCAAGGTAAAAAACCACTTACTGAAAATTAAATGGCTACAGTTCTATATTTCTGATTTCTAAAAATGGAAAACATCTAGAAATCCAATGACAGTTATTTATTCTATACAATAGTTAAAATAGACTAAACAACGGAGATGAGGACCAGGAAGAACAGTAATCACCTTAGCTTTGTGAAGAAAAGTCATATCTGACCAATTCTAGTTCCTTCAGTGATAAAGGGCCCTTGAAGCTAAGGTGGAGCAGAATATATAAAATGGCTCTTTGATGGGCTCACATGACATTTCAATTACCCCCTGAAGATAAAGTCTGGCCACAGTACTTATAGGCGGATGCCAAGCTACCTAGGAGATTATTTCTCCAAAGTAGGGGGTGGCTGGCTAGTCTGTGTGTGTGTGTGTACACACGTGTATCATAGAGGTTTCAGCGCCACAGCTGATGCTCTATTTTGTCAGGACTTGACACTTTTACTGTGAGTGTCTGATGGTAGCCATCCTGATAAAGTGTAGATGGGAACTGAGGTTACATGAGAGAAATTAACACGTCAACAGAAGCTTGAAAGATTAAAGTGGTCAGTACAAACTTTTAGCATAAAATAAATATTGCAATAGCTCACATTGAGCCTCAAAGTAGATTTGTGCTGCAAGCGGTGTCAATACAACTAGAGAAAAGAAGAAAAAAAATTGTTCTCTGATTATGTTCTGAATGCTCACTATAGAAAAGCTGGAAAAAAAACAAAGTATAGGAAATAACACAGAAAGCACCCAAAATCCTTTAATTCACAAATAACATTTTTATGAATTTCTTTTCAATCTTTTTAGTTTATATGCCTAATAAATCTTAATGTATTAAAATTTCTCTATAACTGAAATAAATTCTACATAAAATATAATATGTAAGCTATGCAGGAGCTGAGAGAATTCTTCCTTCATTTTTTAAGATTTTATTTATTTGAAAGGTAGAGTTACAGAAGAGGGAGAGAAAGGTCTTCCTTCCGTTGGTTCACTCCCCAAATGGCCGCAACGGCCAGAGCTGTGCCGATCCAAAGCCAGGAGCCAGGAGCCTCTTCCTGGTCTCCCATGTGGGTACAGGGGTCCAAGTACTTGGGCCATTTTCTACTGTTTTCCCAGGCCACAGCAGAGAGTTGGATTGGAAAAGGAGCAGCCAGGACTAGAACCGGCTATGTGGGAACTAGCCCATGTAGGATGCTGGCACTGAGGGTGAAGGATTAACCTACTGTGCCACGCTGCTGACCCCCTCTTCCTTCATTTTGAAAAGGACCTGAACTCAGGGAGTCCAGAAAATAACAAAGCCAAAAGAGTCAGAACAACTTGGGAAAATAACTACTTTGTCCTGAAGCAAGAAAGGTAACCTGGAACACCATCTTGAATTCCACAGTAACGAAGAGTAGAGGCAGAAAAATACAGACTTAAATAAGATATATCTTTTAAAATGTTTATTTATGTTCATCTACTTGAAAGGTGTATGTATATGGGGGGGGGGGGCGGAGAATGAGAGTGACAGAGAAAGGTATCTTTCATTCACTAGTTCACTTCCCAATCGCCTGCAACAGCCAGGGCTGGACCAGGCTGAAGCCAGGAGTCAGGAGCTCCATCTGGGTCTTCCAAGTGAGTGGCAAGGGCTCAAGCACTTGAGCCATCACCTACTGCCTTGAAGGCTGTAAATCAGCCTTCGGACGTCGATTGGCTGGGGCTTGAACTGCACTTTGTATGGGATATGAGTGTTCCCAAAGGGGGCTTAACTCGCTGTGCCATAATGCCTGCTTCTAAGTGATAAGATAGCAATTGATGAGAAAGAACTCTATGTTAGTAACAGTAAAACAAACCACAGATGTGGTGGGAGACCTGGAGTTCTGCTTGCAATGGTACCCTGTAAGAAAAGACTTTAGGGGAAGCTCCAGGATCACCTATCAGGAAAGTCTCTCCATGAAAAATACTAGAGACACACCAGAGACAAAAAATAATGATTTGTTTAAAAAAATTAAGTGAACCTTTAAATTCTGTGCACATTGATGGACAGCAATATTTTTTGGACATTTTCTTTACTTCTGTTAAAAATTTACTTGTGGCCAGCCCCGTGGCTCACTAGGCTAATCCTCCGCCTTGCGGCACCGGCACACCGGGTACTAGTCCCGGTCGGGGTGCCGGATTCTGTCCTGGTTGCCCCTCTTCCAGGCCAGCTCTCTGCTGTGGCCAGGGAGTGCAGTTGAGGATGGCCCAAGTCCTTGGGCCCTGCACCCCATGGGAGACCAGGATAAGTACCTGGCTCCTGCTATCGGATCAGCGAGGTATGCCCGCCACAGCGCGCCAGCCGCGGCGGCCATTGGAGGGTGAACCAACGGCAAAGGATGACCTTTCTCTCTCTCTCTCTCTCTCACTGTCCACTCTGCCTGTCAAAAAAAAAAAATTTACTTGTTTATTTGAAGGGGAGGGGGAGGGGGAGGGGGAGGGGGAGGGGGAGGGGGAGGGGGAGAGGCTAAACCAGGCTAAAACCAGGAGCCTGGAGTTCCATCTGGGTCTCCCACATGGGTGACAGAGACCCAAGCATTTGAGCCATCTTTTGTTGCCTTCCCAGGTACATTAGCAGGGAGCTGGATCCAAAGTAGAGCAGCAGGGACTCAAACTGGTGCTTGGGTATGGGATGCTGGCATTGTAGACAGCAGCTTAGCTCAGTGTGCCACAATGCCAGCCCCTTTGGAAAGTTTCTAAAATTATCACTATGTGAGAAAAACGTTTATTGTGAAGGTTACAACATAGCATTTTTGATGTGAGTGCTTAGTTTCTGGAGATCAGGAAAGTTGATTTCATTAGTAATTATGAAAAACACTTTCCTGTGCTAACCTGACCCACCCCCTACAGCAAAGATAGTGCAAAAAAAAAAAAAAAAAAAAAAAAAAAAAAAAAAAAAAGCCATGAAGGAACTACTACACAAGTGATAACAAGAAGTCTAGTAACATACCTTTTACTTTTCGTTTTATTCTCTGTTCTCTCTCCCGAATCTCATATTTGTCATCATAGTAGAAGATGAATGGAGATGTTGGAAATGTTTGGTTAAACATTCGTCTTTCTGTACATTCCTACAAATTGTATTTGAAATTATGATGTCAGCAGGTCATAGCATTCAGAACATCTTTCTTCAAGCTTCTAGATGGTAACTGGAGATGGGCCCCACAGCACTGGGACTCATGCCGGGGCTGCACAAGGTGGTCCTTACTGGGCAATGGGAAGGCCACCAAGTCTACAACCCAGTTTCATGTGCTATTCTTCCAAGCTTGAGTTTTCCTCCTTTCCTTCTTTATCTTTAAAATCCTGATTATTATTATTTTTTTCCATTTGACCTGCCAAATCTCTTCCCCAGCCTGAGTTAACAGCATCAAGGAATGGGTCCCAAGTGCACTCGCCTTGTACTTCTGCTAGAGAGTTTACTTTATTTAGCCTTAGATTACTAGTAGTACTTTCTTTGTTTTTTTCTAAGATCCTTCTATCAAGTGCTTCTCTGGTCTCTTCTCATCCTCAACAGGAGAGCATAAATTCTTAGTTCTTTGCTCTGGATAACAGTAGTCTGCAAGCTTATTTTGATTCAACATTCACTACTTGTAAGAGTAGGAACTCTAATGGTGGGAGTGGTGTGGGTTATGTCTACTTTGGAAATGTTCCTAGGTAATTCTGAGACACTGCAAAGGAAATCTCCTCTTTGTACCCAATGCAAGACAGGATCAGCACTCTCACTTCCCTGGGACAGCTCCCTGTTCTCATGACGCTGGCCTTCCCCCGGCTGTTCTTTCCCAAACCCACATCCTTTGGGCTGAACCCCTCTCCACAGAGCAGGTTTATTTATCATGATATGTGGCATACATCCATTTTGTATGTCTGGAACACCTTTTCTTTGAAAGAGGCTTCCTTTTAGAATGTTTTCATTTCTGTCTTCTGCCATCTTGCCTAAAATTTATTTTAAAATGTTTAATATTTCTTAGCTAAGTGCTAGAGAGTTATTAGAATACTTTTTATAAAGTATGTGAAATATCCAGAGTTTAGCTGATCATAACTTTGGCATTGTACACTGGACTTGTACTTCTAAGATATCTGACCAAGTTGTAGCAATACATTTATGTACTTAATTTGCAGATTAAAATAACTAGGAATCATCCTAAATACACACTTAAGTATAGAAAGTAATTTATCCAGAAAACATATTTATACAGAAAATAATTGGTATTTATCACTCATATCAAATCATAACATTTACTTTGACTTCTGTCCTACCCAACACAATTACTGATGTAACTGAAACCCTTTGTGTAATTGCTTCTGGCTTTTCCTTTGTCTCCTTCCATTTGGAGAAGTTAACACTGTTGTAAAGTTGGTATCTGCCATTCTATTTTTATATTCTTTAACCAATGAATATTCTAATGAATAATAGTGTAAGTTTGTATCTCTTAGACTTTATAAAAATGGTGTCGCTACATAAATATATTGAAATGGCTTTGAGTTATAGCAGTTTCACAAAATAAATTGGGTAGCATTTCCTTGGATTATCTGTTTCTGACCAAAGGTTTGATTAAACTTGTCTATAAAGGCACAAGTCTAGGGTCTGGCACTGTGGCCTAGCAGGTAAGTGCCCGCATCCCATATGGGTGCCAGTTTGAGTCCTGGCTGCTCCACTTCTGACCCAGCTTCCTGTTAATGTGCCTGGGAAAGCAGCAGAAGATGACCCAAGTGATTGGGTCCCTGCCACCCATGTGGGAGGCCTGGAAGAAGAGCTGGCTTCAGTCTGGCCCAGTTCTGGCTGATATGGCCATTTGGGGAGTGAACCAGCGGATGGAAGATTCTCTTTCTCTGTTTCCCTCTCTGTAACACTGCCTTTCAAATAAAATAAATAAATCTTTAAGGAGAAAAAGAAAAACTTGTCTATAAAGGCATGAGTCTGGGGGTTGGCGTTGTGGCATAGTAGGTTAAGCCTGTGACTGTGGCACCAGCATCCCATATGGGCGCTGGTTCAAGTCCTGGCTGCTCCACTTCCGATCCAGCTCCCTGATAATGGCCTGGGAAAGCAATGAAGATGGCCCAAGTGGTTGGGCCCCTGTACCTGCATGGGAGACCAGGAAGAAGCTCCTGGCTCTGGATTGGCCCAACTCTGGCCATTGTGGCCATTTGGGGAGTGAATCGACAGATAGAAGACCTTTCTCTCTGTCTCTCCCTCTCTCTGTTTGTAACTCTGCCTCTCAAATAAATAAAATAATTTTTTTAAAAGGCATGGGTCTGCGTCAGTTTCAGAGGGAAAAATTTTGATTAATTTATTCAACTTTTTTTTTTTTTTTTGACAGGCAGAGTGGACAGTGAGAGAGAGAGAGACAGAGAGAAAGGTCTTCCTTTGCGGTTGGTTCACCCTCCGCTGAACCGATGGCAGGAGCCAGGTACTTATGGGGTGCAGGGCCCAAGGACTTGGGCCATCCTCCACTGCACTCCCTGGCCACAGCAGAGAGCTGGCCTGGAAGAGAGGCAACCGGGACTAGAACCCGGTGTGCCGGCGCCGAAAGGAAGAGGATTAGCCTAGTGAGCTGAGGCGCCGGCTAATTTATTCAACTTCTTTAATGGGGCTGATTCACATAAGTTTTTTTTTCTGTTACTAGTTTATATTTTGTCAGAGAGTTATTTTATTTGCATTTTTAGGTGTAACTTTGAGCTGTATATTTTTAAAAACGAAAAAATTACACTATTTTCATTCACTATTCACTTTTTGTTGTTCTTTGAATAGATTTTCCAGAGGTCGGTCTCTTCTTCTGAAAGCAGTTTTCAAAGAACCAGTTTTTGGTTTTATTGATGCTATTTAAATGTTTTCTACTTCAATAATTTTGTTTCTTGTCTCTAGTATTTTAATCATTCTACTACCTTCAGATTTAATTTGTGTGGCTTTCTGAGTTGTTTGGGAATTTTTCAGGTCCTAGAAGTTGTAAGGCAAACCTATTTGTATCATAAAAATATACTGTCATAAATTGCTGTCTGTGCTGGCTCCAAGACTCTATTCTCAAGAGAAAGGATATCATGAAAGATTTGGGTCTAAGATTCTAACCACAACCGAATGAAAGGCTGCTAATCAGTAACATCATGATTATACACATGCAAACACACAACTCAATGTTAACTAATAGAGTCATCTTTAGAATACTCTAGGTCCAACAGTAGATTGGAACTCAACTTTAACTCTAGTAAGAATTCTAAGCATAAAATAGTAGGCGCAAATTATGATCACAGAAAGGTACTAGAGATCTCAATACATTCAGCTAATACCCACCTCAACAGATCCTTTTAACTGTCCCAGTCCCAGTTCACCCTCTCATATACTCCTAGGGTAGTCTCATATGACTATGATTGCTATTGCAGCCCCAATCAGAGTGTGAGTGGACTTAGGGGAGGATGATGTCATGTTTATCTTAGAACATCTTTCACATGAAGACACTATTTGGTAACAACATTTACAGGGCTGACTCTCTGAAACTGAAGTGGAAGACTCCTGTGTGAGCTCCTATTTGGATCCTTGTGGTCTAGACTGATGTGACTTCACAGAGCTATACAGTACTACAAATGTTTTTCCAAAGCTAAATGTAAATTATATTTTGATTATCCACATCGCTGGTCCCCTCCATTAGCACAGACAATTGATAGTTGGCTATATAATTTATCTACTGTTCTGGATTAGCCACACCACTGATCTTCTTCATTAGTGTGAATAATCTAGAGTTCTTCATCTATGGCAGTGATGAGGCTGCCAAATTTGTTTTATTGTAAATTAAAAATTATCTAAATCTAGATTTCAGGGATAAATTCCAAATGCTTTTAATATATTTCCTATCTACATTAACAGGAGGGACTAGTAAGCAGTAAGCATCCAATTCTAATTGTTTTTATTTAATTGAACAAACATAAATGCTAAAATCATACCCCTTTGCTTTAAAGAGGTAAGCAAGCATAAATCATACATCCATGTGATTTGCATGGCAGTGGGCTGCTTATGTGAATATTTCCTAAAAGATGTTGGCAACATCTACATGTTGGTAACAAGGATTAATGCACACGTAGTAACAGATCTAGAGATGATAATTTTGTAAAAGAAGTCTTTTCCAGTTAGGTTTTCAATGTGAGGTCTACAGAAGTGAGTAAGTATACTACAGATCTCTCCATTTGCTATGAATTTAATCACATTGGAAATGGCATCCGAATGTCATCACTGAGAGATCGCTTGTGTTTTGGAGATAAAATGGGTCCAGAGGAACATGTGGGTTACTTAAGTCACATAGTTAAGTTGGTAGCAAAGGAAAAATCAAATCTGAGGCTCAGAGCCTCAATCTAGCTTTCATATTCTACCCCTCACCTCTGGGGTTCCTGCTGTCCCAATATGGAAGATAAATTCCATCTGTTGACAGACTCTACCTGCTCTTTTTATTTTCCCAGACTTTTTGTCTCTCCCAAGTGCCATGGCTGGAATTCAAGAGGTGACCTGCCCTAATACCCAATCCATTTGCTTACACCCCTACCTGTTTTCAGGACTCTAAAGCCTTTGTATGCTTTCTGCCTCCTACCATCATATACGATTTGATATTAGTTTATTTTAGCCATTAGAAGCCAATCTGGAGACTGGGAAGGCATCTTTCCATAAGGATTTTCTGTTTCTTGTGCCACTGTCTTTCCTCCTTTGCCTCAAAACTTCAAGAGTATATGTATAGGCTGTAAGTCTATTCTGATTGCATTTTCTTTCTGGGATGAGCTGCTGGTTTCACACTGGTTTGGGGTCTCATGTCCTCTTCAGAATAAGAAGTTTCTCAGCACTTTAGAATTCAAAAATATTTGCCCTTTTAGTTAGATATAGCATTTGGGCATTTGTGAAATAGATGGGCAAGTCATTTAGGCACCACTTCTGTCTTTCCACTACTGAGTATCAAGGTTTGCATGTGAGAGATAAAGACTGAACTGAATATGGTTAACAAGGAGAACTGGATAACTAAACAGAAAATCTAAAATCATGATGTGGCTATGTCAGAATAGTAACACAAGAACTCACAAGAACTCTTACTGTATTACTGACCACTATTACTTGTGTGATTAATTTTGTGAACTATTTGTTTTAGCCTAACTTGCTCACATACAACTAAAACAGAAAAATATGCTCAGATACATTGTAATTCTGGCAGAGAAAGAAGAATTAAATTAGATGAGCCTACATTGTCACTCCTCAGAATGTTAACTTATGAAAAAAGTAAGCATTCAGAGTTATATGCATTTCGAGTTCATTCTTTAGCAACCACAACCTGCCAACAGAAGGCTTTACGCTCAAACGTCACTCAAACTCAAACTTACGTGTCCATAATGGCCTTTTTGTGCACAGTTGTAGCAATACACTCGGGCTGATTGTCCAGAAGGAGTCTTTGGCTTTTTGGGTGGTCCAGGTTTGATCTGCAACATGAATATTTGTGAATGTTTAATAAATGTTAGAAGAAAATTAAAATTTTATTGTTTCCAAAAGAGTTCTTTTTAGGTAAGGGATTCCTTAGAAATACTGCCTTTTTTTTTTTTTTTTTTTTTGACAGGCAGAGTGGACAGTGAGAGAGAGAGAGACAGAGAGAAAGGTCTTCCTTTACCGTTGGTTCACCCTCCAATGGCCGCTGCGGCTGGCGCACCACGCTGATCTGAAGCCAGGAGCCAGGTGCTTCTCCTGGTCTCCCATGTGGGTGCAGGGCCCAAGCACTTGGGCCATCCTCCACTGCCTTCCCGGGCCACAGCAGGGAGCTGGTCTGGAAGAGGGGCAACTGGGACAGAATCCGGCACCCCGACCGGGACTAGAATCCGGTGTGCTGGCGCCGCAGGTGGAGGATTAGCCTATTGAGCCACGGCGCCAGCCAGAAATACTGCTTCTTAAAAGTTTAGTGGGGCCAGTGCTGTGGGGTTGCAGATAAAGCCACCACCTGCAGTGTTGGCATCCCATATGGGCACCAGTTTGAGTCCCAGCTGCTCCACTTCCACTTTCGGATTGGTGCAGCTAGGCCATTGTGGCCATCTGGGAACCAGTGGATGGAAGTCCTCTCTCTCTCTCTCTCTCTCTCTCTCTCTCTGCCTCTCTGTAACTCTGACTTTCAAGTAAACAAATAAAATCCTAAAAAAAAAAAAGTTTACTGTGGAGTGGCAGGGGACTAAGGATGGAACCCTGGACACAGCAACCTTTATAGGACATGAGAAGGGCCTGTGAAGAGGATAGAGAAGGATGAGTTAAAGGATGCAGAGACACAGGACAGTCACAGATCTCAGAGACTAGTTTCATGGATGACCTCATCTACAATGTCAAATATAGCAGAGCTCTAGTGAGAGTAAGACCAAGAAACAACTATTAAAAGTGACAATAATTCTTGGGTTAACTTATTGTAAGAATTTTCTAAGCAGTTACAGAGTAGAAAAAGCAGAAGGCAGTAGGGTAAGAAGTAAAAGGATTCATACAGAGGTGAAAAATTACAAAGACAAGCAAAGAAATTACTCACAAACACCAACATGGTGATCATTTCCAGAGAGGACAGAACAGAATACGGAAGGTTTGGGATAGCTGCAATGTGTTGTTTTTTTTTTTGGAAGATTTATTTATTTGACAGGTAGAATGACACACACACACACACACAGAGAGAGAGACAGACAGACAGACAGAGAGAGAGAGATCTACCATTTGTTAGTTCACTCCCCAAATGGCAGCAATGGCTGACACTGGGCCAGGTCAAAGCCATGAGCCTACAACTCCATCCTGGTCTCCCCTGTGGGTGCCAGGGGTCCAAGTACTTGCGCCATTCTCTGCTGCTTTTCCAGGAGCGTCATTAGCAGGGAGCTAGAAGGGAAGTGGAGCAGCCAGAACTCAAACCAGAGCTCACATGTGACACCAGCATAACAAGCAGCAGCTTAACCCACTGTATCACAATGCTGGCCCCGACAGCTGTAATTTTCTATTTCTTGAACATGGTAGTAGTCATTTGGATGTAAAAATGATACATAACTAATTTATTAAATTGTACCCATTTTAACATACTTTTCAGTATGTATATTACAACTCACAATGTTGGGGCTGATATGAGACAGTGGGTTAAAACACTGCTTTGCAAAGCCCATATCCCTTAGAGGACCAGTTTGAGTCCCACTCCTCTGCTTCTGATCCAGCATCCTGTTAACGTGCCTGGGGAGGCAGCAGATGACGACCCAAGTGCTGGGTCCCTACTATCCACTTGGGAGACCTGGATGGAGTTCCTGGCTCCTGGCTTTGGTCTGGCCCAGCCTTCACTGTTGCAGCTATTTGGAGAGTGAACTTGTGGAAGAAAGATCTCTTTCCCTTTTTCTCTTTTACTGTCATTCTGGGGTGTGTGTGTGTGTGTGTGTGTGTGTGTGTGTGTTTAAAGGCCGCTTGGCAGCAGACCTGCCAAGAGCAAGAACCCTGGCTAAATTTTCACATGGAGCTCTTTCTTTCCCTCTTTCGTGCTTCTCAAATAAAGTAAATAAAATCAGTGTTTAAAAGCAAAACATGGGCCGGCGCCGCGGCTCACTAGGCTAATCCTCCGCCTAGCGGCGCCGGCACACCGGGTTCTAGTCCCGGTCGGGGCGCCGGATTCTGTCCCGGTTGCCCCTCTTCCAGGCCAGCCCTCTGCTGTGGCCCGGGAGGGCAGTGGAGGATGGCCCAGGTGCTTGGGCCCTGCACCCCATGGGAGACCAGGAAAAGCACCTGGCTCCTGGCTCCTGCCACCGGATCAGCGCGGTGCGCCGGCCGCAGCGCGCTGGCCGCGGCGGCCATTGGAGGGTGAACCAACGGCAAAGGAAGACCTTTCTCTCTGTCTCTCTCTCTCTCACTGTCCACTCTGCCTGTCCAAAAAAAAAAAAATAAATAAAAAAAAATAAATAAATAAATAAAAGCAAAACATGGGTCTGTGGCCATACCACACTGAAGGTGCTCAATCCTGTCAAGAACAAAACACGGGACAGGGGTTGTGGAACAAGCCACCACTTGGGACACCCACAGCCCATACTGAAGGTCGTTTAGAGTACTGGCCCTAGTGCTTCCAGTACAGCTTCCTGCTAACGCACCTGAGAAAGCAGCAGACGATGGCCCAAGTACCTTTTACCCACATGGGAGACCTAAAAGAAGTTCTGAGTTTCTGGTTTCAGCCTGGCCCAGCCCCACTGTTGTGGTCATTTGGGGGAGAGAACAGAACTCTGTCACTCTTTCAAACAAATAAATCTTTAAAAACAAAACAGGAGAGAAAAGAGAAAAAAGATAGAGTAAAACCTCTGAGGAGGCAGTGGCATTAACAGAAAAAGAAAAACCTAATCCCTACTCCCCCCAAACATTTGAAACTGGAAGAAAAGATGTAAGATGAGCATAAACCTGGATAAGTTTATTTCTTATATTTTTTACTGGGCTCCTACAACACAGAGTGTTAGTCTGTCAACTAGTTTTGCTGTGTAATGTTGCAAACAGGTAGTTTGCGAAATTTTATTGTCATGACAAAGGAAAATAATGGCAGAGGTAATAAAATACTCTTCAAAAAACTTTACTTTCAGTTCCTGTTTAATAAAATGGAAAACTGGAGGAAACAATCCTGAATTTTTTTAAGATTTATTTATTTATTTGAAAGGCAGAGTTACAGACAGGCGGGGGTGGGGGGGAGGAGTCGCGGAGACAGAAGATGAGGGAGAGGAGGAAGAGGGAGGGGGAGGGGAAGAGGGAGAGGAAGAGCCGAAGCCAGCAACTTCTTCCAGGTCTCCCACATGGGTGCAGGGGCCCAGGCGCTTGGGCTATTTTCTGCTGCTTTCCAAGGTGCATTAGCAAGGAGCTGGATTGGAAGTGGAGCAGCTGGGTCTCGAACTGGCACCCATATGGGATGCCAGCACTGCAGGTGGTGGCTTAACTTCCTATGCCACAGCACTGGTCCCCTGAACAATCCTTTCTACTGAAAATGATTGTGAATGTTATACAAAATGGAATTTATCACCTCAGCCATTATTACTAATTAGGATACAATAAAAAACATACTAGCAAAGCTTCACATTCTCCAGTTCAAAATGTGGTTCATAAATTAAGACAAACTAGAAGTCATTAAGCAGAGTTTTAACAAGTATGCACAGTGAGGCAGGTATTACTCATCTGAGATTCACAAATTTCTTCAAGTAGTTGAGCACTGAAAAGACATAATTATTAAGCAGAAATGACTTTTACACATGCAAGGCTGAAAGAGAGATTCCACCTGCTGGTTCACTCACCAAATGTCCACAATAGCCATGGTTAGGCCAGACCAAAGCAAGGAGCTTAGAAAGAACTCAATCCAAGTCTCTCATGGGGGTGGCAAGGACCCAAAGTACTTCAGCCATCATCTGCTGCTTTCCGGAGTGTGCAGTGGCAGGAAGCTAAATGGGAAGTGGAGCCGGGACTTGAACACTGAGACTCCAATATGGGATACAGTTGTCCCAAATGCCTGCCCTTTTTGTTGTTATGGTTATTTTTTTGGACATAAAATTGGAGTCATGTGCATATATAGTTTAAGGGAAAGAAACATCAAAAGAGATGATGTCTTGGATGTAAAGGCAGAACAGGTAATGTTTTAAGGAGGAAGTTGTTAAAAGCTACTGATGTGTTACATAAGATCAGACTATGAAATCCACTGGACTTAGCAATCAGGAAGTTGTTGACAATTGAAAACTGTTTTAAGTAGTTTCATTTGCAGAGCTGAGGCACAAGTAAAATTGTAATGGGTTTATTATACATAGAAAGATGCTGAGGATCAGAATATAGATGACCTTTTTTTTAAAAAAAGATTTATTTATTTGAAAGTCAGAGTTACACAGAGAGAGGAGAGGCAGAGAGAAGTCTTCCATCCGATGGTTCACTCCCCAATTGGCTGCAATGGCCAGAGCTGCACTGATCCAAAGCCAGGAGCCAGGAGCTTCTTCCAGGTCTCCCATGCGGGTGCAGGGACCCAAGGACTTGGTCCATCTTCTACTGCTTTCCCAGGCCATAGCAGAGAGCTGGATAGGAAGTAGAGCAGCTGGAACTAGAACTAGCGCCCATATGGGATGCCAGCACTTCAGGCCAGGGTGTTAACCCGCTGTTTCACAGCGCCGGCCCCGATAACTTTCTTTTTTTAAGGATTTATTTATTTTATTTGAAAGTCAGGGTTACAGAGAGAGGGAGAGAAAAAGAGAGAGAATATCGAGAGATCTTCTATCTGCTGGTTTACTATCCAAATGACTGCAACAACCAGGGCTGGGCCAGGCCAGCCAGGAGCAAGGAGCTTCTTCTGGGTCTCCCACGTGGGAGTAGGGGCCCAAGGACTTGGGCCACCTTCCACTGCTCTCTCAGGTGCATTAGCAGGGAGCTGGATTGGAAGTGGAACAGCTGGGACCCAAATCAGTGCCCATATGGGATGCTGGTGCTG